TCTCTCTCTCTCTCTCTCTCTCTCTCTCTCTCTCTCTCTCTCTCTCTCTCTCTCTCTCTCTCTCTCTCTCTCTCTCTCTCTCTCTCCCTGACCCCTCATGCGCACAGTATATCCAATGCGAGTGCGTACGAATGGCGTCGCGCAAAAGATCGACAGGGGCCTCAACTAGAAGATGACATATCACAGACTCATAGTTCTCTTCTTCCGATCTCTGTCAAATTCCACGGCTTTATGAGAGGTAATTAGCGAGATTGGTTCAAAGTAAACCAACAAATAGAACAGAGCTGACTACAACTCTGTAAGAGCTGCTAGCTGACCTGCAACTGATTGGGCGCTGCGGCGACGGTAATTCCTGCTGCGGCGGCCGCAACTCCGACGACCAGCGTCTTCCCTCCATCGCCATCGCCAGACACGTGTGACGCCATGATGGACAGACGACGACATTAATTCGGTAGGGCAGCAGGCAAGTTACTACCAGTAGCAGTGCGAGCGGGAGATAGCGCCACCATCGCTGATTTCGGTAATCCTGCCCGGCAGGAAAGAGCCCTCACGGCGGCACGAGTGAAAAGCATTCTCTCCTTTACGCAAAAAAAAAGAACATCGTCGGCTGCAGCGCCGCACTTGCTATCTGTGATCGCAGCGAGGCGCGATACTCTTTGCCCCCCCCCCTCAGCGTAGTCGCCGGGGTGGCGGGGATGACGAGCATCCAAAATTTCGACACAGAATGCCGACACTACAATCTGCCACGTGGACCAAACGAAACCTGTGGCCACAGACAGTCCGGACGGTCGAGCTGTCCCTGCGGTGAGGGTAGGCGCGCGCACAGATTCCGAAAAAACGCAAAACGAGGAAGGAAGACGCCACCCCGCCCCAAAAAAAAGCCGCGACAACTATGGTGGTGTAAAGCGTCCCTGTGGCGCACTGAACCCCAGCAGGGGATGCGCAATATAAGTAATACTCGCGGTAAAGACAAAAGGACAAAAAAAAGAGATAGAGGGAGGACAGACGGAGGACAGAGGGGCCCGACTGTTGTTTCTGTGCATGTCCGCTCGGAATCGGATCAGACCAGATTGCGTCCATAAGGGGCCAAGTCCAATTTTAATTTTACTTTTTATTTTTTTGGGACATGTCCAACTACCCAACACTCGGAGGTTTAGTACAAAATTTAGAATTCTAGTAGTGGCGAGCGGCCCACAGTGTGACGTGAGTGAGTGCTCACACACAGGGAATCTTTGGTCCACAGTGAGACGTGGAGGCGTTGAAATGCATCCGGAGGAGGAGGAGTGGCAATGTGAACAACGGCCTTCCACGTGTGTTGGCTCGACTGCCGGAATTCGAGACCTTCCAGAGATTCATTCGATTCAAACCACGTTTGTTGGCTGGCCGCTGCCACTTAGTGTCACACTGGATCGGCCACACTCCTATCCGACTGCTAATGGGACCTCGCTCCTGGGGTCCGCTCGATATAGCCTTAGGAGCAGTGTTAGGTACGGAGTGAAAGGCTTCTTGATACTGCTGTAGAAAGCACAGTGTACCATGCACGGCGCGGAGACGCAGCCCGGAGGGGGGGGGGGAACAGTTAGCCGTAGACGTGCGTGAGAACGTATCACAGTGGTCTGCCGGAAGCCAGGAGGATACTTTTGGTGCAAAGGGTTATGGACATTTCTTTCAGAAGATATTTTATGTAGGTGGTTAGTGGAGCAAGATGCAAGATGAAACGACAGTTGTTTTTTTCTCATGTTTTCCACAACTAAGCAGAGGCCCAAAAGACAAAAAATATGGTGGTGTATCTTCCCATGTCATTCTGATTTTGCATATTTCGTGAGTAGTGGAGCGAGGTCCATAATGTAGGAGAAATTCCAGATTTTGGGGCGAAAGCATATGGGCCTCGCTCCACTACACAAAAGCGTACGTGCATTTGGCAGGCTGAGCAAGCTTAAAGTGAGTGTGTGTGTGCGTGTTTGTTTGTGTGTATGAGAGAGAGGGGGGAGTGGGCTCTGTAGGGCGTAACATATTTTTTGTTGTTCGATGTAGAGATATTTTATCTTGCAACATTGGCAAGTCGGATTGTCGAAGATGTAGTGTCATGGGTCACGCACGTGAGCAGATGTGTATTGCACGACATGCAATGGCATGAGATATGTGACATGCTTGTTCGAGGGCATGTAAACCTTGTTCAGTGTTCATAAACATGGCAGTGTTATAGCACACTGAGAAGGGGCATGAGCTCAGTGCAACTTCTTCCAATGTGTTAAGAGAATTGCAGAGCAAAAGTGTCAAAGATTAAGCATGTTACAGGGCCTCGCCACAAATGCAAAAAAGACAAAAATCCTCAGCTGGAAGAGTTTATCGGCTGGCGACAAGCGGATGGATAACCTGATGCGGTGCTGCTATGATCTGTTCAAGGAGGGACGTGCTTTGCATGCTGCCCTGGAGGAGGGGCTGCCTGCACACTCTGCTGGGAGTGCTTTGGCGCTCGGCGCAGATGAAGGACAATTGTTGCTGGCAGAGGGAGACCTGCGAGGGGGGTTGGGTGAACTGCATGTCAATCACAACAACAGAACCGACTACACTGTCTACAACGACGACACTGGCAACTACAACATTGGGGGCTACTTAATGGGGGGGGGGTGCTCTAATCACCTTGTCAAGTAGCTTTTCGGCAGCCGAAGCCTTTTAAAAAAGAAAAAAGAAAAAAGAAGAAGAAGACGGAAGAAAAGGTCTCACTCTTCTTATAAAAACGAAATTGCATAGAAATTCTAGAGTAGCTCGAGAGTTGTCAGAAGTGGTGAGCACGTGATTTTGTCTTCATGGCTCCACTAGCTAGGATCCTACACACCACCATGATCTGGGAGTCTTAGGGTCTCGCTCCACTACTGTCCTTTGTACAAAAACGAACAGTCGTACTTTCCTCCACTTACTGTCCACCGTACATGTGCAAAATGGCTTGGACAATTTTTGGAAACCCCGTCGAAAATCTACTGTCCGTGAATGTACAGCTCCTAGCCTGCAAAATTCGTTACGAGGAAAGTCCTTCAATGGACTCACCGTGTGGACCCGATTGTGGACAGTGCACCTGGAGTTTGGGCGGACAAAACCCTATGGACGTCCTGTCTTGTAGTGCTATCACTGTGTCTGGTAGTGAAGCCACGAATTTGAGAGGTGGACAGCGGACAGTAAGTGGAGCGATGTCGCATTTTCCACTGTCCGCTGTACAATTTTTCGCTCTAACAACTGTCCACCAACTGTCCGAAAAATTGTACAGTGGACAGTAGTGGAGCGAGACCCTTAATGCCCCCTTTGCTTTTTGTGCAGGTCCCACATGCTTACGCATGTGCCAACCCACGGTAGTGGGTATGCTGCTTGCCAGGAGCACATAACAACGTGGGACAATGCGAAGTCGAAGGCAAAACAAAATATCTCAGATTGATAGCTGCCTACCACCCTAGTTGAAATATAGGAGTGGCTCTCTGAACCCTGCCGTGTTCACCCGAATAGAACGTCCGGTCATTATCACTACATCTGGACAGAAAATGGCCCCAAACAGTGTCGTACCCCCGTTCACCGTTCACGGGGGTTGTGAACGGGGGCCGGCCACCGTTCACGGAAAACGTGAACGCCGGTAGTTCACGGAGTTCACGCTGAGCGGAAACTCCATTTTTTTTTTTTTTTTTCGACTGGTAGGGGTACTTTTTTTTTATAGACGTGTGGGGACTGTAAAGGGGCACCTGCCCAATTTTTTTTATTTTTTTTTTCAATAAAAAAAAGGCCTACTACGACCGTGAGATTTTCAGATCGGGTGGCAACGAGCCACGTTGAGTGGAGGAGGGCTCAGGAGACTTTGAGCCGTTGCGCGAGAGAGAGAGTGAGACTCTCAGCCATTTTGCGCGCGCGAAAGAGAGAGAGAGAGACCCTGAGCTGTTGCGCGCGCGCGCACGCGCGCGCGCGAGAGAGAGAGAGAGAGAGAGAGAGAGAGAGAGAGAGAGAGAGAGAGAGAGAGAGAGGTGCGCGCGCGCCGGGGAGTGGAGGGAGGGCCCATCCCCCACCAACCAATCAATCAATCAATCAATCAATCAATCACTATGTTACCGCGCGTTCATTGAACGCGGGTTTCGCGTTCAAGGTATGAACGAAGTGAACGCGCGTGAACGCGTTTGATGCGTTCGCGCAGGGGGGTGGGTGGGGTGGGGTGGTGCTTTGGGCAGTGTGGGGAGCAGCAGCGGTGCTTGGGGGGGCTGTGGGCAGCGTGGGGAGCGGCGACGGTGCTTGGGGGGGG